ATCATAAAAGGGTCATCCTCAAACTCGGATTTTTTGGCAAAAATTGTATTGATTAACAAATGCTCTTACATCTTCTGTGAGAAAGCAGTGATTGTTGTTAATTTTGAGTGATTGTCACATAGTTGATAATTGCTCTGATTCATGATATTATTATATTCTCTTTCCTTCACCCATGGCAAAACAAGCTTAATTTGATTTATATCCTTAGGAAGAAGAAAAAAAAAACCCTAAGATTACTCACATGGTTGTGATTCAGCTTTTGGCTCCTTCCTCTTTCCCTTCTCCTCCTCCTCTTTTCCCCTCCTCCTCTTCTCCTCCTCCCCTGCCCACTCCTGTATTCACTCCCACCCACGATGTTGTTGTCATCAAAGAACTGAGTCAGTTCGTTCTTAAAAATGGGTGGGGCAGGAGACAAGTAATAAAAAATTTTCTGAGTGAAGTATGCGGCTTCTGTGTGAAATCATTTCAGGAAGGCAGGTAGCTCCTTTTATGACATGGAAAACTTGGAACAGAGTCCAGTCCTCATACAGACATGTTCCCAGAGTCCTACATAAATCTGCATGTAGTTTGTGTACATGTTTGTAGAGGCATTCACGTAGCATAGCCATGGAGGCAAGTTCCTATGAAATAATTCTGATACTGGAAATTTTATATAATGTGCTCTCAAAGTAGAGTACTTTGCTAAACAGCAAATGATCTTGTTTTGGATACAGGATCTCACCATGTAGCTCAGGGTGGTATTGAACTTGTGTTCCTCCCGCCTTTGCTTCCCAAGGCAGGGAGTTATAGACATGTTTCATCATGCCTGGTATTATTTGCCTTCGAATGAAGAGTGTGACTTGGAAGCTTGAGGCTGTTCTTTCCACCCTTGGAGTGGAAGAGAACTACTGAGGGAGAGGTGTGGCTGCTCACCCTTGGTGATGTGGTGAGCATCATGGAAACAGATTTCTATTTCTTCCTTGTATTTCCTTGTTTACACTCATTCTCCAGGTGATAAAAAAGAGAAAGGAAGTGACTCTCTCAGATTCCTTCAGGCAGCACCCTCCCAGAGCCAGTATTGAGTCTCTGACTGTCTGTGTTCACTTGACTGTCTGTGTTAACTTTGACCTATAGTTGAGGTTGCTGGAACCGACAGTCAGATTACTTGGTATTCTGGGTTGCTGACAGAGAGGCAACTCCATGGTGTTTCACCAAACCAACCTTTTAGTGCAGAGTTGAAGCAGATCTGTTCCTCTCACCCAAGCTCCCTCAAAGGGGTGAGTTGGGCCTTCCCCCGCCATTCATTCGTAATCCCTACCACCCTTTCATTATGCTTTTTCTCCCCCCATCATGTTGAAGACAAGTTGGAGCAGTTGCTTGTCCTTCATCCGAGCAGGGTATGTACATATTTATAAAGTGTGCTTGCACCTCAGAGATGTCTTCTTGCTGTCCTTTTTATCATTCTTCAACTATGTCATATGCAGACTGGATACTATCAGCTTTTGTTACCTGAGGGCCTGTGGAATGATTGAACTGCTTCATAAAGCTTTCAGATGGAACCAGAGCTACTTGTACTCAGGAGAAGTAAAATTTCTTAATGAAAGATAATCTCACAGAGAATGTATACTGAGGTTCTCCACCCAACTGCCTGGGTTTCCCTTAGGGTAAATGTAATGGGGTTTTATGTTATGGCCTTATGAAGGGGGAAAAAAAAGCAAAGGAGTACTTTTTTCTGGGTCTGTACTCTTCTTAATGCCTCTTATTAGGGACTCAGGGCTATAATGTTCCTCCAATCATTCTTTCCTGGCTGGTGACAGTCCTAGTATCTTGACCTATCGGGGTCAACTAGAATGAGAGTTCTGTTTTTTGTTTTGTTTTGTGGCAGGGTTTCACCTAGGCTGGTCTTGAACTCCTTATCCTCCTGCCACAGCCCTATAATCTTCCAGCCTCCTGCATGTGCTTGGCTATGATGGGAGTTTCTGAATGCCCTTCTCTGACTGGTTCCATCTGGTCCTAGCTCCTTTCTTCATTGACTGTAGGGGACCCCAGAAAATGTGGTGGGAAAAGCCCAAACAGATACTGCAACACTCTGCAGAAATGATGGCTTGGTCCAGTGTTTGTCATCGATGCTAAAGTAGTTTTAATGATAGACTAACTATGCTGTGTGTGACTCAAACACTGTTTCCAGCCCTTTTCAGTTCAGGTGCACAGCTAGGAATAGAGAAACCAGGATCGAAACACTAGCTGTTCTCTAGACTTTTCAAAGATGTTAAAGGTCTCTTCAGATGCCAGAGTTTTGATTGTTTGATTTTATTAATGTTCTGTTTATTCTCATTGAAAACCGTGTAATTATAGACTTGATGTTCTCTGTGTACTAGAGGAAGGTAGCTGTCTTTAAGCCAATAAAGCTTTACTCAGAAAATGTCAGTGGCTAGATTAATACATCTCTGTTGAAATATGAACAAATTTTAATAACTAGTTGAGAAATATAATTTGAAAACCTACTTGAAGTAGTCTGTGTAAATTTAATTTCTAAAACCTGATCTTTATGAAAATTTAGAGTGGTATTTATTCCAGTAAAATCTTATGGAGAATTTTTAATAAAGTGAATGAATTAACTTTTATATTATTTTTATCTTTTCTGTGTCTTCATCTATGAATTGGAGAATTGGCATTTGAATATTGCCTTACGTTGTAAATATAGAAGGTATGTCCTATGTAACATAGCTAGTTACCCATCAAGGTTTAATCAACAGTAAATGGTAAACCTTGGTCAAAGCACTTGCTGACTTTGCTCAAGGTTAAAGGAAGTATGCCGAATAGAGATAACTGTAGTTCAACTGCTTGCCTGAGCCTTGCAGATTTTTTGTGTGTGGGAAATTGCACTCATTATTCCATTTTTTTCCTATCTGCGTAATACCTGGGAACAATTGACTTCATGTAATGCCACTCCCGTCATGCTTATTACTGAAACTTTTACTGCAAAGGAGACTTTTAAGCATTTTATTTGGGATTTTTCCCAGAGACCATTTGGTGACTTTCAAGTTTTTGTCTTCAGCTTTTAAACAAGTTGATATTAAAAGACTGTCGGGGTGGGGGAGGGTCATTGTCATATTTGTGTTTCTATCTAAGTGGCTCAAGAGTGCAAATTGCAGTATATACAAAAGTGAAAGCCTCATATGTCTCTCATCTCCCTGACCACTTCCGGAAGAACCTGCCACATGGGCCCCATCACGAGATTTCAACTGGGTTCCCCCGGTTGTAAAGACATGAGGCAGACTGCTGATTTCCCCACTGTTGTGTGAATTTCATTATTCAGTGGCCTTAGTTCTAAAATTTCCAACATATGGTTCTGTAACATAACATATTAGGGAGTGGGGCCAGGGCTTTGCTTAGGCTTAAAAAATACTCTTGGAGTTTTCTTGTTTACACGATTGAATGCTTTGAAACTACTAGAACATGTATTCTGATCCTTAAATGTACAAGTTAGAAAAGAAACAAATGTGAGCTTGTCAGATCAACTACAACCAGCAGTCTAATAAAACTGACTCATATCCAAATGGCTGCACTTACACTACCCTCCCATTCTGGGGAGAATGTGGCCGGGGGAGGCAGTGTGAGTCACCACCTGCTTTGTTTGACATATGCTTCCTTCCATAAATTGGGAATGGCAAGCAGCACAGTGCTCTGGGCTCGCCTCAGAGAAATAGCTATTGCAGCTTTGCTTGAGCAAAATAGGGCTTCTTGTTTGGAAAAATGAAGCTGAGACCACGTTTTGACTTTAAATGTCGGGGAGGGGGAGAAGAAGTGGACAGATCCAAACATGGAACACTTAACTTGTAAGTACCATTTTCAGAGAATGGAGAAATGGTAGGTGTGTTTGTGCTAAATTTCTTCCTGAGGCATAAGTGGTATTTAAGAGAAATTGGGGTGTTAAAAATGAATTGGCAGCTACTTCATGAAATGGGCTTGTTTACTTAATAAGAGTGTGCTTGAAATGGACAGTAAAAAATGAACAAGGAAGAGGGATATGATTTGTAGTTAGCATAAAGATTTGTCCTGATGATGTTTAAATTTGCTTAAGTTTTACAACTGTTTTAAAAAAGTTATGTTTGATATAGGGAATCTTCTCTTAGGCACTTTGAGGGAGGAAAGAGGATTATACACCTCTCTCATTTCCCTTCAAGTGGCTCTACAAGGCTCTATGGAACTGTGCAGAATGAAGTTTTAAATGTAAAATTGTCAGGGAGACTGGCAGAAGCGGGATGAGAAGTATGTTTGTAGCTGAATTAAGTTGTTAAGCTCAGCCGCTGTTTTGGGATTATTTTTTAATACATGCCAGACATTCTTCTGATTTCTATCCTGGCTGGCTCTCGGCTTCTCCGTCTGTGTGAGACTAGGGTGTTAGTTGTTTTAAAGCTTGAGTTGTCACAGCCAGGGCGTTTTCTGTTTCGGCTTATTGCCCCCACCCCCACCCCCACCCCCCACCCCCTACACACACACACACACACACACACACACACACACACACACACACACACACACACACACACACACACTTTCCTGAATGAGTGTCCTTTGTATAACCCCAGTAATTCAGAAATCCTTCAGTCTTAGGGACTGCCCTGTCATGTGATTTAGGTACTAGGTGTTCGTTGCGATTGGTCAGCAGCTAATTGGTGGGTCGCTATAAGAAGTCCCGGGTCAGGCGACTGTCCACTCTCTACTCTGCCGCTGGCTTCTGCTCAACAGGGGCAGTGTAGGGGTGGGATCAGTCCAGTGATTCCTCCTGTGATAGATGAGCAAGTAATTGCTGCCCTGGGGTCTGCACACCAGTGGAAGACACTCAGATTACTTGTGGCTGATTTGATCAAACTCTGGCTTCCTGAACTGGTAACTGTCACTTTAATGTAGCTTACTGATTAAACTGAGAAAAATGTAGCTGAAAATGTATGCCAAGAACTTGTGTGGACTTATTCCCTGTCCCCTCTTTCCCCTTTGTCTGATTCATTTTGTCACAGGAATGAAACGTAGATAAGTCGTTAGAAAACTTTTGTAGGAACAGTGCCTCGGGTGATCAGAACAAAGCCGTTTTATAATCAGATTTACCAAGCTGAGAAGAAGGAGTTTTAGCAAACGGAAGCTGCAGTGTTCTATCACCAGGAAACAGTGCGTTTTCCAGAATCGGTAAGTGAAAAGTGGCACTGTCCCTAATAGATATCATATGGTGTGTGGGAGAATTGCTAAATTGTTCACAGACCCCTAACAAGTGTGTAGAACAGAAAACATAACAAGGTAGGAATTTTAAAAGCAGCCAGCTCCACAGTATAGCGAAAGGCTGAGAAAGAACCAGGTAATTAATAAAATGGGCTGAGTGTTACCAGTTCAGCCAAACATATGTAATATAACTAGGTCTTACTTTTTGAACGTGGTTTCCTTTTCCGTGGAGGAAAGCATAAAATCAAAATGGGTTGTTTGATTGAGTTGCTACATTAACTTTCCATGGATAGCGATTTGCATTTCAGTCTGACTAGCAAGTTGAAATTTGAAGACATACTTTCAGAATTAGTCGGCTCCTTTGCCTCCCCGTTGGGCCGAGTACTTGATCTAGATTTTTTTTCAAAATGAAAGTTGAAGCAATGCACCCAAAACTTCTGATTGTGAATTTCAGATTATGATGGTCATAGTTTTTGTTTTGCATTCATGTCATGATTTTGAGATTATACTGTTTGATTACCTTAATAAAGCAAAAGAGTGCCTATTTCCATATAGTCCATAACATTTTCAAGATGGTAATAAGCAACTCTTAGTGGCATAGTGCCTTTGTGTCTGGCTTCCTTTTTCTGAAACCTGAAATTCAGTTTTCTGATTTTTGAATCTGAGCTGCTGCTATGCTTAAGGTTTCCAGAGAAAGACAATAAAGCTTTGAATATCTGTGTTCCTAAGGACAGTGAGATAGCACAGTTTTATATTAAATGTGAATGTTTGATTACTTGACTTTGCTTAATAAAGATTTGTGTGGAGAAAGGTTGAGCACAACAAGCAAAGATTAGTGGGTGGCTGCTTGATTTTTGCCAGTTTCTCATTGGTCAGTTGAAATAATCATGTGATATATACTTACATAGAATTATAGGGAAAATATTTTAAGTGTCAGTAATTATATAGGTATTCTGAGCAATCTTCATTTATGAATGTAAACATGCAATTATGCCCTGTGAACAGAATTGTGCTTTATTATACCCTATAAAGGGTATAATATTGTTTATTTGCTTTAAGTATCTCCAACTAAATTAAAAGTTGGACGAACATTCCTGACTTCTGGTTCCCATTCTGCTGCTTTTGAAATCATAAAATTCTCAACTTAAAACAAGAAAGCTATAACAGGATAGCAAAACTACGGGTTCTCTGTTAATTGAGTGGGGTGCAGATGGGGAGGAGGAGAATGAGTGCAGTAGAATCTGTAAATTGCCCCCTCAGTTTACATAGTGAAAATTTTTCTCAGGCTAATAAAGACTTCCGTTTAAACTGAAAGACAAGCATGGCTGTGAAATGCAAGTTTGTGTGAATGTCACAAGTCATTTGACTTAATAAAAGTATGCCCTCCTGACATGTATGAATTTATAGGTTTGAGAGAAAGACAGAGAAATGGTGGCATGAAAGCATTTCCAGGCAATACTGCTAGTGTTTTCAGAGAGTAATATTTATTTTCACTTCTATTTCATGTAATTACTTGATTTAATGGTGATTTAATATTGGGCTAAATACATGCTGGATAGGAAAAAGACTGTATAAAACCCTGATGATCTTCAGGCATTTAGAAGCCATTGTCTTGAGTGGTAAAAATGGGATTTAATGTTAACTGGAATAGTAAATGTTACAAAGTATGTCCCAGAATAATTTTCCAAAAGCTTCATTTTTTTTATTTTTTTATTTTATTTTTTATTTTTTTTAAAATTTATTTATTATGTATACAGTGTTCTGTCTGCACGTATCCCTGCAGGCCAGAAGAGGGCACCAGATCTCATTACAGATGGCTGTGAGCCACCATGTGGGTGCTGGGAATTGAACTCAGGACCTCTGGAGGAGCAGCCAGTGCTCTTAACCTCTGAGCCATCTCTCCAGCCCCAAAAGCTTCATTTTTATTTTACTTTGTCATTCTTTATCCTCAATGTATTATTTTTAAATATCCATCTAAAAGCATCACTCTGAAATCCCTCTTGGAGTTATTGAAAGTATTGATATTTGGGCATATTTGGTAAAAGTACATTAATGACATATATATGTGGGTTTGTAAAAACAGCAAAGTGAAAGGAAGCCATTTGAGAGTCATAACCTCTCTCCAGGAGTATTGGAGAAGTATACTATATACCTTTGTCTGATTGAGTTTTATTGAGGTAATTTCTTTCTCTCTCTCTCTCTCTCTCTCTCTCTCTCTCTCTCTCTCTCTCTCTCTCTCTCTCTCTCTGTGTGTGTGTGTGTGTGTGTGTGTGTGTGTGTGTGTGTGTGTGTGTGTGTGTGTGTGTGTGTGGTGGAGTGTAAACTTAATTTCAAGGGGTTTTTCAATAACCAATGAAATGACTGTGTTTGTTAGAGCTCAGATAAGAGTAGCTGGGTATTGTCATGTAGCTTTAAAATCTCAGTTCATAAATGTCATTCAAACCTTCTGCTACAGTCTCATTGAGCAGGGGCATAATAAGAAGGGGGGAAAAAAAACCATGAAACACCCTAAATAGGAAACACTGTATTCCTTTCTTGTCTTCTTGACTAGCTTTTGTGTATGGGCTGACCATGGGAGTGGTAAGCATAGGTCTTGAAGAAAGCAATACTTAGTACCGACATATGGAGTAATAAGAGGTCAGCTTCCGTAAGGTTGTGCACATCTTTCTCCAGTGATGACCAGCAGTAAGAACATCTTTAACCAATTATTGTAGGCTCTGCAAGAGCTGCAAATATTCAAATGCAATGTGAAGAGAAATCTTTAGTAACAGCAGGGTGGCCAACCACTTTGGCATAGCCTTTATTCCTCTCCTCTAGGCTGACTACAGATGCTTCTGTGTTCTTGCAAGACACATGCTTTTCAACCAACTGTTCATTTGCCATTTACTAGAGTATGTCTTCTTTTTCCTTATGGAATAGACAGGATTGCATTATTAAATAGTCATGAACCTTAAACAATTTATCTTATATTCAAAAATTACTTTTAACATTCTTTAAGAAGAGTTTTTGAGACCTGTTTATGGGAATGAATTGGCAGGCTGATAATCTAGGAAACACTGTATCAGAGCAAGAGAGTGTTTAGACTAATATGTACCATAGATTAATTATGAACTTGTGCATTTTCCATGCCTGAAGGCATTTTCTATTACTCAATGGCTTTGGCAATTTATTTTGTCACTAGCACATTAAGAATTAGTGAGGATAAGATTTCAGTGAGGTTTGTCCCTTACTTAATAAATATAAAGCTACCATTTCTTCTCAATCCAAACAGGTCTAACAAATGGGGAAAAGTTTTTGTCATAAACTGACAGCAAGTCCTGACCTGAGCTTACATGAGGCCACTTGTAGTCTTTATTTAGCTCACTAAGTCTGTATGTTTTATCACAGAAATATTCACCATACTTGATTCTAAAATAGAGTACCAGACCTCCCCTGTAGTTACATACATATGTGTGTATATAAAGTAATCACCCTCTTTATAAGATTTATAATAATCTGAATGTCTCCTGCCAGATAAGGGTTTCTGACTCTTGAATAAACATTTATTGGACTAATGCTTTACTAAATACTTTTCTAAATATATCCCTGGCATCTAGCACAATGCCTACCAGTTCCTGATTGTTACCCAGGAGATATATTTTAGTATTAAATGTTTTACATGTATTAGCTGAAAAGCCAATATGATTGTTATTCCATTTTTATGCAGAGAAAACTACAACAGAGAGGTGAAGCAAATTGCCCAATGTGACATAGAGGGAAATAATGGAGTCAGGAATGTGACACAGAGGGAAATAATGGAGTCAGGAATGTGACATAGAGGGAAATAATGGAGTCAGGTTTTGCAAGTACTGAAACTTGGCTGAGTCAGAGGGGTGTGTCACGTGGTTCCCTCATTCCTGGTTACCCTATGCCTAGTGTCATCAGAAGGTGGTGATATCACCACTATGATCATTACCAGGGTCCTGTGTGGAATGTTTGTTAACCGGTGGGTGGTGGGACTATGGGAGTTCCAGGGCCTTAACCTCTCTATTAGTGAATCAACCTGACTTTTTAAATTGGGAAATACTAAAAGAAATTACATTTTTCTTAACCCCAAACCAATTTACTTATTCAGTTTGAAAAAGTCCTCTTATAGCTATTTTCTTGGACTTTTTTTTTTTAAACCCAGAAGGAGGTCTAGGTTGTGAAGGGAGAAAGGGTCACCCCTGAGTGGGTGACTCTTCTGCATAAAAGTCATGCTGGGCACAGTAAGTGTCTTCAGGAAATCAGGCAGCCCCAGGAAATTGAACTGCATGACAATCCAGAAAAGGATACTTTTAACAGTGCTTCTCAAAAGCATGTCTATGTTGTTTCTCTTTTCCCTATGTGTTTCTAGTGATTAAAAAAAAAAAAGAAAACTTTCCAGCCCTCTGTTTTACTTCCCTGTCCCTCTGTCCCCACTTAGTTTTTCTTTTTAGCACTTACTTCCTTTTGGCATGTTGTATATTTCATGTCCTTGCTTGACATTTTAGTCAACCACTCCTGGTATTGTTAGCTTTGAACAGGCGTAAAGATTTCTAGATATATATTTTGATTTCTGTCTTCAGCTTCCTTTATGTTCATTTCAAACAGCTATTGATAAGAAAAAAAAAGTATTTTGCTGAATTTTTTTCTTCTTATTCTTTTTGTATTTTTGTTTTTCTAGAAAAACCTTTTTTGTGTATCCCTTGGCTGTCCTCTTGCTCTGTAGACTAGGCTCTCTTTGAACTCACAGAGATCTCCCTGTCTCTGCCTCCTGAGTGCTGGGTTTAATCCACCACCACTGCCTGGCAACAACTATTTTTTTTTTACTGTTACTTACAATTTTACAGTAATAGTTATAAATACTTATTTCTACTAAACAAACTGTTTAGAGTTCGAATGGTTAAAATGTGGAGAACAGGTTTTTATTCAGAAGGGGAAACTGAACCAGTTTTGAATGGAATAGTACT